CCTCGAAGCGGGAGGAAGCTTGGAGGAAGGTGCGGGGAGGGAGGGCGGCGGGCCCGGGCTGGTCGCGCTGGGGTGTCCTCCCCGCGCCGGCGGACACCGAGCACCCCTTGACGCCGGTGTCTCCCCGCAGGCGGCCCTCCGCGCACGGGCTCCCCGCTGCCCTTGTCGTGCGAGCTGTGGAAGGGGGCAGCGACGCCTAAGCCATCGCCATGGATTTTGTCATGAAGCAAGCCCTGGGAGGTAAGTGCGGTGGGCGCTGGAGGGACACCCGCTCTCCAGGGATGGAGCTGCTTGGGGACCCCGCAGCACGCCCGTGTCCGTATGCCTGAGCAGTGTGAGCGGGAGAGGGCAGCAGCATACAGGCAGCAAAGCTCTGTGTGGGGACATCTGCCAGCACCCCGGGCCGTGCCCCGCTGGGCAAAAGCCGCCAGCCCATTGGGTGGCTCTGTGTCCCGCCGCAGCGGCAGCTCCTGCGACGCCCGCAGTGCGCGTTCAAGTCAGTGCAAGCCCCGCGAACGAGTGTCTGGCCTCCACACGCAGGAAGCCCTTTCCGATCCCTGCTCCAAAGTTCGGCCGCTCTGAAATGCAGGAAGATATTTTTGTACCTAGAGGAGGTGCTTTTAACAGTATTGCTGCAACGAGCAGGGGAATCATTATAAATTAACCCTCAGCACGCACTGACCTGGTCTGACAGTGAGATAAACCTTTAATGTAATTTTAGGGTATTTCCTTCTGTGAGTGATGAGTTGTTTTTAACTGAAAAGTTGGGAGTTGCGAGGAAAGAGGTGTATGCGAGGGATAAAAAGGAAAACATCAGAGAAGTGCTTGTGAATAAGATTCCCTCCTTCAGCTGCAATTCTGGGTTACTTGGGTTTTCTGGGCTGGAATTCCGGAAAGGGTCTGGAATCCGTAGATTCACCCACTTTTCCCACAGTATCTAATGTATGTGGGATTTTGTTTGTTTGTTTGTTTTCCTATCCATTTCCTTCAGAGAAACTGTAGAGTCATTGGACTCAGGGTACATTTTGTCCATGCTTCACGTGTGGTTTTACTGATGTCCTAGGTAGCTTTAGTGTCTGATAAACTCTTTTACTGCAGGAGTCTCCCCATTGGCACAGAAACAAGGTTTTCATCTTCAAAGGAAGGGGAACTGTCCTCCCCTTGTAGGGCATGGTTGCAAGATCTCACAATAAAAAGCAGAGTAAGCATTCCAAGCTTCAGTTGGGGTGTTTTTGAAGGTCAAATCATAGCAGAAAGGTGCTGCTTTAATTGCATGGAATAGCAAGGTTAAAGCTATATTAAAACTATGGTATGTATTCTTACAGTAGTGCTTTTCCCCTTCAGTGCCTGTTCTGAAAGAGAAATAATTTTGCGCCATTAGCCATGGTGTGAATGAAGTTGCTTACACCAAGAAGGACAAGTGTACTTACAAATGCGAGGTCGAACCCGTACCACTGGAGATGGGAGAATCCGCCAAAGGGAAATAACTGCTCAGAGACTGCAGCTGAAGGCAGGGGGAGGAGGGTTGCAGCAGAGGAGTAACAACTGTGATGCATGTCTTTTCTTGCGGCTTAGTGAAGAACGGGAGCTGGAAGCGGCACTTGCTTTTGTCAAGGAGCGTTTCTTCTGGGCGGCTAACAACGTTGCCTGCCTGCCAGGGTCAGGATTTGCACCGCAGCAGGAGCTGCTGAGAAGGCGGGTTCATAAAGGCGGGTTCATGAACCTTGGTGGGTTCAGGATTTCAGAGATTTGAGGCAAGATGCTGTGTGGGGAACCAGCTTGTTTTCCTGGAACTTGCCCGCTCACTTGACACTGGAGGAGTCTCTGCAGGGTGGTAAAAAACAGAAAATGTTAATTAAGCAGAGACCTATTTTTATGTTGCATGTGGTTTCGAAGAAGGAAAATAAAGATTACCAGGTGGATGTACTCTAGAAGGTCAAGGTGCTCTTGTGCACTGGTTTCCTCCGGGTTAAATTCTTAATTGATGGCAATGATGTGACCTGGCCACATTGGCATTTCAAGCCAGGCTACAGTCTGATTTCTCAATTATTTGGTCCAGATCCTTCTTTGCATGGGCAATGCATCAGTTTTCACAGCCCAAGGTGCACGGGGGGCGCGCACAGAGAGGAGCATGCAGCTGCAGACTCGCCTCGGGTAGCGTTTGGGTCACCTCCAGCTTGCAGGGAATCAGGCATGCTGTATCCTGGCTGCAGGCCAGCTGCAGCTGTGGCAGCTTTACCCCTTCATGACTGCACACCCACCTGGGGACACCTCACGAGGCTGCTGGGTGTCCCTGCCTAAGTACTGTATGCATGGTGGTTTCTTCCCAGCACCAAAGTGGGGCTCAGGCCAGAGCTTGCCACGACCAAGAGCCTGACACCGGCTTGCAGCTTTGGCCAGGAGAGCTCCTTCCAGGGCCCTTACATCAGGGGGAACCCTTCTTGAGGACGGCAAGTTTCAAATGTTACTTCAACAGATACAAGCTATAGCTGTAGCAGTAACACATGCTGTGGGATTTTGGCCATTGCCTTTGAAGCAATCCCTAGAGACATTTCCTCCCTCTGGTGGTGTCTAACAACAGACTTGCTTTGCCTTGGAGCGTTTCTGATCAGAGAGGGAAATGTCAAGAAGGTGCTTTGAAAGGAGATTTGAGCTTGGCCAAATTAGTTTGGCAAGAAATTGCATTGGTCATGCAGGACATTGTCTTTCCCTGTCTCCAGGTGGAGGGTGTCCGACAAAGTCTGCTGCGTCAACGCAGAAGAGGCTGCAGCCTGGGTGCTCATCAAGAGTGTGGCGCAGCAAGAAGGAAATAGCTAGGAGAAATCTAGGGGCTTGACATAATGTTATGTCCTCTATATCCAGAGCAGTGGGGAAGATAGCAGAGGGGTGTTGTCCCTCCCTGCCCTCACCAGGTTGCTGCTACACTATGTATGTAGCTTTGGTGATTGCTCACTTCTCCTGCTCCTGTGAAGGACTGGAAAGCTGTGGATCAGCAAGCTCAATAAGCAAACAGGCTTTTTGCATGGTTGCATTTTGCAGCAAGGATGCTGCTTACCAAACCAGGTCAGAGCCCTGGAGCATTGGACTCATGAGTGTAGACTGAGATGTGTGACTTCAATAGGAAAAGGCTGTAGGTGGAGACCCTGAAATGGCCCCTTCAGAAATTCAGTCGTGGTGTTTTTCACTGAGCATGGTTTAGCTCTGCTGCGACCATCTCTGTGAAAGCAAGAGGAGCAATGGGTGCCTTCACACTGTACTGCCTCATAATATATTATTACACTGTCTCATTTCCTTCATCACTGATGGGAAAAGCCCACCTGGAGGCTGAGAGAAATTTGCCTGAGGTGGGGTCATGATGTGTTCAAACAGAAGCTCCTTACAGCAGAGTCCAGAGTTGCAGAGGCCCGAAGGCTGCAGAGAGAAGACTATGCAGAAATCAGTCACAGCGGCTCCAAGTCTTTGCTTGACATGGTGTGATGCATTGTAGGGACCTTTCACTGTGCTCCTTACACCCCCACAGACAGGAGGACAGTGTAGCTGGGATGCCTCCTTTAAGTAGTGAATTCTCATCTCAGCCTGCAGGTGAACCATGCAATGCATTTCATATATAGTGGAGCACGTGAGCTGCACTGTCTGAATTCCTTTCACAGGATAGTGGTAGCCCTGGAGTTCGCTGTGCGTGAGCAGCAGGTGAGGCTGGTGAGGGGACTGCCCATGTCAAGTGCTCAGCCTGGAGCTGCAATGCCACAGTGTGGGGGGACTGCCCTCGTTCTCAAAGGCGGCCAGCATGTAAACCCATTGAGCACCAGGGCATCTGAGCCTCTGTCCATAGCTCTGGAAAAGCAGTCCCTGTGCGTCCCGAGCTTGTGTCAGCAAAGATGCAAGCATGTGTCGATGGTCTGTCACTTTAGAGCCAAATTATGAAGGCAAGAGAGGAGGTCTCCAGCCCACTGCAGCATCTGGTGGGTACTGGAATCCCATCTACCTTTTTTTCCTGGACATCTTTTGCCTAAATTCTGAAGCCATTAGGGGTTCTAAAATGAACGCTGCAGCTTTAGTCTGTAGTATAGTTGTGCTATTACCTTTTGATCTACTTTCTGTTTCTGATATTTTGACTATGTGCATTTTAATGATGTTTAGAAGACGAAGAAGCAGCACTAATATCTGGTGGATCCATTTTTTTTTCAGAAGGAATGGTTTTAATAGCTTTATTTTTTTCTGTTTTATAATGCTAGCAGAGAGATTTTCTATGAGAAATCATATTATACCACGACATATCACAATGAAAATTACATATAGATGTCTCAGTCCTTCCAAAACACATAGCAAAACACAAATTACATAGCTTTGCAAGACAGATTAATTTATACCAGCTCTGCATCATCCTTGTTCATTTATTTGATAACAGATCCTCCAATGGCTACCCATAGGATTTGATTTTTTCTTTGGGAATTTCCATTAAAACTGTGGAGGAAGATGCTTTGAAGAAAGCAAGAAGATCATTGAATGTGAAGATGTTACCAGTGAAGCAAATGTAATGTCAGCCAGCTAGTCTTGATTTGATCCATGATTTTGAATCATGAGGAGGAGGAAAACTGGCAAAGGAGACCTCTCTTTATGTTTGCTGTCTCCGTTGGGGCCATCGAGATTGGAGCTCTGTTTGCTGTATGTGCAAGAATAATTATTCATTATTCTTGAAGGACAGGAGATACCTTGAAGATGCCGATTCTAGATACACACCATGAAACGCTGAACTAAGAGCTCCCCTACTGAACATGGGCTTCCGAAGAGCCTACGTGGAATAGTGATGTGGAAAGGGAAGAAGCTTCCTCTTTTACAAGGGGGAGAAAGGGAGAAATGAGGAAACTTACCATGCATTAAGGAGCTCATTTGGGAGTTAGCTGTGGCAGAATAAAAGGCACCATCAATATCTGCTTTTCTTTAGTTCAACATGTTTTAGCGAACACCTCCATGTTCCTCTCTTTGGAGGAAGCTCTGCATTCTTTTTATTGGAAGATGTGTTGCAGCACACCTGCATCTTTGACTTTTCTTTTTTTGTTGTTGTTGTTGGTATGATAGTGAAAGTTGGCCCTCATGCGGACCACAGAAAAGTGCAGAGTTCTTGTCAGCTGCATAGTATCAGCATAAATTTAGCATATCAGCACTTAATTTTTATCCTCTGTTGCATAGGAAATGTTATTTGCAGCAGCAGATGAGGAGCTGGACATGAGCCCAGTACA